TTTCTTCAAATACAGTATTAGAATAATTCCTTAATTTAAGTAGTAAAATTTATTAATTATAAATAAAGCTATTCTATAGACCTAAAAGAAGTAAGTCCTACTGAATATTTAATATTAGAAATAAACACATATTCTACTTTATAAATTAGAGAATTAGACTTAAATACTTTAAATGAATATTAATAATTTTATATATAGCTATAATTCTTAATATACTAGAACTAGCAATATAGCTAAATATATATTCTATTAATATATAGGAGCTATAGCTAGTAATATTATAGTAAGAAAAATAACTTCTAAGCTAATAAAGAATCTTATCTTAGAATAGACTAATTTACTTAGGAACTAATTAAGAAGAAGATATAATTATAAAAGATAATATAAACTTTTCTAAAGAGTAAGTATACTCTAATTAACTACCTAGTCTTCTAACCAATCCTTTCTAAATAAAAATTTAAGTCCTCTAAATTAGAAGTATTTCCTAAAGTCTAGAGTAATAATACTTTTTAAGTTTAAAAAAGCTTCTTGAAAGGAGAAAAAGTTATAAAATTTTCTAATTTTGTTACAAAATCGAATTCTCTAAGAGAAACAAAGTTCTATAAGCGAAGGGATATAGTACCTAGAGTAAATTCTCTAATTAAGAAAATTACATATCTATTAAAAATAGCCTTATAAAAGTAAGAACTCTTCCTCTAAGTTACTTTAACTTATACTACTTAAATAAGATCTTATATATTATACTAAATAACTAAGTCTTAATATTCCAAAGCTAGTTAAATAGTAGTAACTCTTATTTATATTATAGTAAGTAAAGGTTAAAAATAAAGATTCTTAATATATTTACTTAATACAGAGAATTTAAGTATACTAGAGTTAGTATTTATTAAGATATAGTTGTATTAATAATTCTAAAAGTAACTAATTATAAAAGGGTTAGGCTCTAACTATTTTAATACTTTATTAATTTACTAAAAGATTACAAGCTTCTAATTAGGAAAATATAAGGCTATTAAATAGGATAAAGTAGATTAGAATTAGTTATAAAACGAACTATATGAAAAATTAAGTACTATCTTTTAAATAATTGTTTTTAAATATATTAACGTTATTAAGCTAACTAATATATCTAAGCCTAGGAATAATAAAAATACTAAGTTTAAAAGTAAGGAACCTAAGTTAGCTACAAGTACTAAAAATATATTCTTAAAACTATATTTTAAGTAAATTCTAATTTCAATAGAGTAAAAATTTATATAGACTACTAAAAATCTAGAAATTAGTTACTATTTTATACTAATATAGGAATAGTATAAGCGTAGAAATTCTCTAATTATTTATTTAATCGAGTAGATCTAAGTTATAGTTTCATTCTCTTTACTTCTTATTTATTTTACAATACTTGTTTAGTTAATATTATAGAATTATAGAATTATTATTTAATAAATTAAGTATAGGATTAAAACTTCTAAAATAACTAAAGAATAGATAATTATTAGAAATTTTAGGGATAATTAAATTATTTTAAACATCTCTTATAAAATAGAAATAGGCTTACTCCTTCTAATCTTTAAGTTTACTTTTACTAGAAATTCTAATATTTTTATTCCTACTTTACTTTAGAAAAGACTCTACTTTCTTAGTATACCTTTAGCTAGATTATATAAAAGATTAATTAATAGTCCTATATATAAGCTAACTATAAGAATATATATAAATAAGGTATAGAAGTATCTATAGCTAGAAGTACTAAAAAGAAATAGTATCTAGTTTACCTAGAAATATTCTATAAAACTAACGCCAAGCACCAGGGCGTGGCCACCCCCAGGGCGTGGCCACCAATTTCCGTATTTACTACAACAACAACTTCAACGCGTGATGGCTCCATCAAAACGCGTCCAAATGAGCTCAAACGAAGGGAGTATACTCCTTGCAATATCAGCTCTCAAATCAGATGCTATTGACTCCGTGTCAGCCGCTGCAAAAATGTACAATATCCCAAGATCAACACTACGTCGCAGATTGCAAGGAATGCCTAGTAGAGAGGACTACATGCCACAGAATAGCAGTCTTACTCTGATCGAGGAGGGCGTCCTTCTTAAGGACATATTGAAGCAGGATTCTCAAGGGCTATCTCCTACCCTTGATATTATACGATCTATGGCCAATTCTATCTGCAAACCCTAACCCCAAAACCTGAAGTTGGCCGGCATTGGCCTAGCAGGTTCATTCAGCGCAATCCCTCGCTAATAATGAAATCTGGAAGGACCTATGAATGCCAGAGAAGGCTCTGTGAAACTCCGGTAGTGATTGAGGCTTGGTTTGAGCTTGTGAAGAACACTATCAACAAGCATGGCATCTTACTACAAGACATGTACAACTTTGATGAGACAGGCTTTCAATTAGGCCAGATCTCAACTTCTAGAGTAGTCACATCATTTGAAAGGACTGGTAGGCCAAAGCAAGTCAAGCCTTCAGGCACTGAATGGATCACAGTCATCCAAGGAGCCTGTGCGGATGGTTCAGCCATACCACCACTCCTCATCTTCAAAGGCAAGACTATCAACTATTCATGGCTTGGAGAAGACTTTCCTCAGACATGGATGTTTGCAGTAAGCCCTTAAGGCTGGACAAGTGATGAGATTGGCTTGCAATGGATCCAACACTTTGAAAATCATACAAGAATGAAGACTATTGGCAGCAAAAGATTGTTGATCCTGGACAATCATGGGAGCCATACAACACCAGAGTTCACCTCTTTCTGTATGAAGAACAATATTGTCCTTCTCTGGATGCCTCCTCACTCATCTCATATACTCCAGCCTCTTGATGTTGCCTGCTTTGGCCCTCTGAAGCAGGCCTTCTCAAAACAGACTCAGCACCTGATCCGCAACCATATCTTTCATATCAACAAAAGCACCTTTATGGATGCATTCAAAGCTGCATACTTTGAATCAATCACACCTCAGAACATCCAGGCAGGGTTCAGAGGCTCTGGCCTGTATCCATTCAACCCTGAGGATGTGTTATCAAGGCTTGACCCATCATTTTCATCACCTCTCAGCGCAGCTTCACAGGGCTCCTGGTGTACAAAGACTCCAAAGACTACCCAAGAGGTGGATCAGCAGGCCACATTGATTAAGAGAAGGCTAG